AATTTATCGTGTATATTAAGTTAATGAAGTAGTTAGATTAGTGTCAGTTATCGTGTATATTAAGTTAATGAAGTAGATAGATTAGTGTCAGTTATCGTGTATATTAAGTTAATGAAGTAGTTAGATTAGTGCCAGTTATCGTGTATATTAAGTTAATGAAGTAGTTAGATTAGTGCCAGTTATCGTGTATATTAAGTTAATGAAGTAGTTAGATTAGTGTCAGTTATCGTGTATATTAAGTTAAAGAAGTAGATAGATTAGTGTCAGTTATCGTGCATATTAAGTTAATGAAGTAGTTAGATTAGTGTCAGTTATCGTGTATATTAAGTTAATTAAGTCGTTAAATTAGTGTCATTTATCGTGTATATTAAGTTAATGAAGTAGTTAGATTAGTGTCAGTTATCGTGTATATTAAGTTAAAGAAGTAGATAGATTAGTGTCAGTTATCGTGTATATTAAGTTAATGAAGTAGATAGATTAGTGTCAGTTATCGTGTATATTAAGTTAATTAAGTCGTTAAATTAGTGTCAGTTATCGTGTATATTAAGTTAATGAAGTAGTTAGATTAGTGTCATTTATCGTGTATATTAAGTTAATGAAGTAGTTAGGTTAGTGTCAGTTATCGTGTATATTAAGTTACTCAATCGGTTAAACTGTAAATTTAAGTTTATTTGTTCGTTAGACATAGTAGTGTTAACGAGTAACTCTTTGTTGTAAATTTAAAACTTTATTTGTAAACTAGGGCCTACGACTGTGTAGTAGTCTTAGCTTATTTAAATACAAGCTTAAACACTGATAATTGTGTTATTTAAAAGACGGATTAAAACGGTAATTATCGTTCATTGTTTGCTTAGTAGCCTCGAGTCTAAATATTAGTTAGTTACATTTTAAGAGATATTAAATACTAATTGGGTTTATCCTATGTTTCGGACACTAATCACGATTATCATGTTCGTTAAAAGAAGGGTTAACAATGTGTTTATTAAATAGCGGAAGTGTTATAGATTTTATTGCTTGTTTCAGGTTCGTCGAGAGTTAGCAATGGGCATGGACGCTTATCAACCACGAGAAAATTGGCACCCTTATGATCCAATGCTCATAGCTGAAGGAGTCTTTGGAGCAGCCAATATCTTCAGGTTTCTATATGTTAGATTTTGTCAGACTCAACTTGAGGATAAAAATAGAAATTTAGCTTATATTAATTTGTCACCAGAGTGCGAAAAAAATTAGGAATTGGCAATTAATTTAAATGAAATGATAAAAATTAAATTCAATAATATTACAAACTATTTAAGAAATCAGTTTGTCGGAAGTAATAGGGTATTTGTTTTTCTTCAGTTTTCTGAAGATGGTCCACATTTTTTCTGTTAATCATCATCTTGGACCAATACAAATCTCTCTCGGAAGAATGGTCTATGACATCATGAAATTCTTCTTCATTTACACTCTCGTTCTCTTTGCTTTCGGATGTGGTATGAACCAAATGTTGTGGTACTACGCCGAGATGGATAAGAACATCTGCTACAGTGGCCCAGGAGGGACTCCTAACCCGGAAGAGGATAAGTCGTGCGACATCTGGCGGCGGTTTGCTAAGTAAGATTGTTTTGTTACGGAGGAAATTCAGCGTTCCTTATATTTTATTGTATTTTGCATTAATGCTTATTTTAAATATTGCGATTGAACATGTTTCTAATCTTTCACTTTTTATCTACAGCCTTTTCGAAACGTCGCAGAGTTTATTCTGGGCAAGTTTTGGGTTAGTCGAGCTTGAAAGTTTCGAGCTGACAGGAGTGAAAAGTTACACACGGTTCTGGAGTTTGTTGATGTTTGGTTGTTACTCGGTTATCAACATCGTCGTTCTTCTTAATCTTCTCATCGCCATGATGAATCATTCGTACGAGATCATTTCGGTAAGGTCCAGAAGACAAGCTTACAAACGAGTGACGTCATTCCATGTTAATTGCTACAGAATTTACACGAGAAAGGAAGTCGTGCTTTTGTGTATCTTTTACATCGTAGTTCATTACTTTTCTGTAAATATATTACAAGTAGGTATTAGTACAAAGAAATGCTCAGTGAAACTAACTTATTTGAACTATCACATAATATTCTCAATGAGTAGAAGTAGTCTTAGTTTATGAAGTTTTAATCATGGATAGGTAAACATCCATAATACATTATGCATATATATATATATACACCTAGGAAAAAGACTAAGCCACCCCCGTTGTTTTTTTACAAGTGATTCAGATTCGACGTTCTTGTGACT